TTTCTATCTGTGTTTTTCTGCACGCGGAAAAAAGATTGAACAAATAAACTCCAGAAGTAGAATGGAAAATAATGCCGGATAAAATACCCGGCTGCATGAATACGTACAAATTTTGGTCAACTGATCTTGCAGATTAGCCACCGCGTTCGCATGCAACTCAGCTTGAGCCAAGATGTCTGCCAGTTGAGATTCCACTTGAGACAATTGTGCTCGAAGCTCGGTCTCTTCGTCCGTCTTGTGCACAGATGAATTTGTGGGTTCGTCTGGATTCGAGTCGGGTAAAATAGGCTTAGTGGTGGTGACTGGTTTATGGTTCGGTAACCCTGCATCTGAAGTCACTATGTCCGCCGTCGGCCGCTGGGATGAAATTGTACGCGGAGCCAGATGGAGTCCATTTAGTAACGTCAAATGATCGGGATGTGAGGAGGAGAAGGAGAAACCTGTGACCAGAGGAATGACGGAGAAGGAGAGATGCAGCATTGGTGGGAATTAAATACCGCATACTAATTGATCTGTGTCATCTGATCCATTAGTTAGGAGTGTGCTGATGTCCTCGTTTATCTAATCTGAATGGTTTTCACATAAGCACAACGCTGAAACCCCATCTTGCCAACACGAAATGTGCGGGGAGGGGGGACGATCGCTGACTTGAAAAAATTCGAGGCGGACAATCATTTTAGAAAGACGACACAAGTGGAACGGCATTTGGCCTAAGGGATTCTGGTACAGTTGGGTAACACGTTCAGATAAATATTAAAGCACTGTTTTGCAGTCCATTGTTAGTAACGATGTATAGGTTGCTTAGTCAAATCATGAAAATTCTCGCAGTCAATGAAAACAATATTGTTGCACGAGCGTTTGCCAAATACTGTTGTCGATCCGAGACTCTTCCCTTGTCGGTCGCTGGAATGTCCCAGTAGGTCAATCTCTAAATCAATACCTGGTATGATAGAAGATAGAGGGCAAAACTTGTCATTCATCAAGTGGATTATTCATCTGCCTAGTAAAGATCAGTATGCAAACGAGACAGCAACCCAAAAAGATCGATCGATCGATTACTATGGGTTGGGGGTGTCTTAAAACAATGTGGTAGGGTAGGAGGACTGTCGATTCGTTCAACTAGAGAAGATTTCTTTAGTACAAACTGATACAGTGCGAAAATTGGAGCGCAAAAGCAACTGAGTCTGACTTGAGCGACCAAGAAACCAATTCGATACAAACATACCAATTCGCCAAACGATCAGTTTTCCCACCCCGAGAACTGCTGACACTCAGATCAACAAAGATGCCGATGATGTGTAACGATAAAACGAATAAATCACACTTTCAGAAAATCGTGCATGCCTGTTAACCGATTTGCTTCTTTGTGTGTGTGTGTGTGTGAAGCGGTGCACATTGAGTCTGTTTTTTTTTGTTCTCTCTCATGACAAAGATCGGACTGGTAATTGCCAAGACCTACTCCGCATAGCCTGGCAGACAAAGTGAGGAGAAGCCACATTCCATTCAGGTTTGTTTTCGGCTCGTAATAACCGAATCCTACAATCCCACCTCCCGGGGACGGGGTTTGTGTATTGTGAAATTCATTAACAGTCATCAAGCTGCGCAAGATAGTTCAGCGTCAAAAACAGAGACCTTTTTGCGGTGCATTCCATATAAACATTTATCGATTCATGAGTAAAATACAATGAAACTTCGTTAGGGTCACCAAGTCTCCGTTCGGATTGAAAGCGACTTTGTGTTAGGTGGCGCTTCTCAGTAGATATAAGCTTGGGCTGTATAAAGCGTGGGCTTTTCTCGTTTGCGTCATTTTCTTCAGATTATCTTTCAGTTCGGTATTCATCTACAATAGCAGTTAACATTTCCTGAACAACGTTAGCGTTAGTCTTCTCCGCTTTCTTGATATCATATTCCCAAAAAGCATCGTTGTACATCTGCGAATTCCATGAGATTGCACTTTTAGGGAGATGCTACATTTGCGAGTTTAAACTGTAGACACGTTCGATTTCACAGTTACAACACAACTTTACCGGCAAAAGCTAGCTGGTATCCGGGATATTTGTTCAGGAACGCCTCAGTCTCCGGAGATTGTTTGGATTTGACTGATGGATCGGCCAGAGAGTCACACAATGGATCGGAACGTTTGTGATCAGTCGGTGTGTGAACCGGATCGTGTGAATTGCGATGCTGTTGCGCTTCATCGTCCGTGTCCAATGGGAAGTAGGCCGTGTCCGTCTCACTGGTGAGGTTGGGTTGAAACGGAGCGCGACAGGCTCGTATATTGGACCATGTCCAATCGGTCAAAGAGAGATCCGCCCCGTCCAATACACCGAACATTTCACGCACGGAATCGGCCCAATCCGGCGCAAACCACGCATGGCTTCGGACAGCCATAGACCCATCCGGACCGGTACCAAGCCTCCATTCACGATCGCAAAGTAGTTCTGAGGACGGAAGGGGATGACAATGTGCAATGAGTGTAACATGGAAGGAAAAAACGAAGAGGAGATTATTGGTATTTGCTGAGGATAGTTCTTATTCTCATAGAAAAATATGGTTCATAGTTAAGGGAGTTTTACACATTGCTGTGATTAAGCGTTATTTTGTCCACAAATCACTCAGGTTGGAGATTCGGCTGACAATAGCCACACAAACGAACAGTGCGTGTCTCCAAACATGAGCATGGTTAACGATTTCATGCAGACCGGTAGGCACGTCAAACTGATCCCTATTGAAAATATCGAAGCAGTAATTTAGCGATCTGGCGTAGACAGAAATCTGGAGATAAGGCGACATTACAAACCCAAAGAATAACAATATGAATCTGGTACGTTTTACTGCACGCTACGATTGTGATACCCACATGAGTGACATTGCACGTTCAAAGCACACAACGGTATGGAAAATTAACAGTTCTGTACAGCTCCGCGTGGGGAGTCATAGCTACTCGCTAAATGTTAGTCTGACCCGAAAACCTCACTATAGTACACCGTGTCTCTTTAGTGTACCTTTATTGTCCCGTGCATATACTTCAACACAAGAGAATGGCAGACTTCGAACCGGAGTAAAAGTGAATCCGTGTGGGGATCGTATAACAAACAAGCAACAATCACATGTGCTTCTTATCCAACGACAAATTCGAGTAATTTAGAGGCAACTGCCTGAAGACGAAACGCGTGCGCACATAAACACGGCAACAATAAATGCCAAGCTGTTGATTCGTGCGTGCCTGTTCGTACGCACACATTTGTGCGAGCTGTCTTGCGCAGATGGATCACCAAAACGGCACGGCTGATCACATGATGTTTGGAAAAAACCGAAAATCAATAACCAGACATAGTCGAGGTAGGTGAATGGCCCAGCATCAACACTCGTCAGCGCGCGCGGACTGAGACGTCACATATTTCTGTGTATGACATGACAGTCTGTGGCTGACAAGAAACCTGCGGGTCGGACGTAATACGAAACAACACCGAAACCAGAAGGAAGCGTGTTACGCTTATAGCTGTGATCATACAGAGTGTTCAAAGAAATCTAAGTGAATTCAACTAAATGAATCCAATTGGGTCGAACACAACGGAAGATGGACACAAATATGCGTTTACTAATTAGAATGGGGAAACCCGTGCGTGCTAACTGAGATCACTTGTCAATGCGACAAGCTAAAAAAACTGATAACCTTGCTCCAACGAAACAAGTCATGAACAAATTTATCGGAGTGCCTAGAAAACCGGTTCTCAGGACCATCCTGGGTGCAACCAGATGTAATCGGACGACCTGATTTTCGTGAACTGTAACCCACATTCGTATACAAAAGCCACAAGCACGCATATTAGCTAATCCTCACTGGTACTTGCGAAGAAGCAAGCATTCGACAGTGACGTGTCATCGAACGGCGCTTCCCGATTGAACGATGCTTCGCGGTACCAGTGGTGTGAAAACCATGACAGAGCAATATCGTTCGAAATGATGAGGAAAGGTTTCAGTTAGAAAAATGAACAGGGAAATGAAAGAAGACCAAAGTGACGGAGGAACATGGACGTGCAGTTACACATGGTGTATAATGGCGTTTGTTGCACATAGTATGACCAGCTGGACTGCCAGAACTTAGACCCACTGAACCAAACTGGTGACCCCTAGCTGTGAATAAAGTTTGGCTTAAGCTCACTGATTAAGCGGCACTGAACGAATAGTGCTGCAAGGCATTTTCGTATATTAACTTTCCACAAGAGTCCGCAGACGAAAATGTGATGTGACAAATGTGACCCGTCAGTAATAAGGCTATCGCCTTTTATCCAATTCCATGTACCAGACAAAGCTTTGCAGAAAAGACAAATTAACCGAACGATTGGCTACCGATTGGTCTGAAACACAACCGTACTGCAAGTGGATGAGTCATCTATATAAGGAATGATCAAACGGTGCTAGAGGTAGCCCTGGTAACCCTAATCCCGACGATCTCAATAGGATCATCGCGGCTGGTGGAATCGATTCATCTGATACAGCGAGTGACAGGTAAATGAAACATGATATACAGTACAGGTGGGTGCATATTAGGTATGTGCCTGGAATCCATCCGACTCTGTACAGAGATCGAGTCCTGCATGCACGTAGTCCTGACAGTGATCTAATCTAACTGAGCGGGCAGTGCTGAACTGTTGTGCATGTGTAACTGGATTTACATGGGATGATTCTTCGTGCAGAAGTATCAACATGTCAACAGTAGTCAGAAGACGCGAGCGAAGGAGTGGACATTTGTCTAGTGGACGATAGACCTCATTAAAACACCATTATTCCCAGTAAATCCCAACTGATATGAAAGGTGATGGGTAAAGTAACCACAGATTGGTAGTACGACATCTAATTCGAGTCCGAAAAGGTAGTAAAATAATCAGGTTTTGTGGTCCGATACACCACTTGTTAGGTGCATAGTAGTTCAGCCTGTTCAGTCTCGTTCCAAAGTTTTGTGCCAAAATAATACCAGCCGAATTTTATTGGAGGAAAAAGAAGACGCATTGTCAAATCGATGAGAATCAGTGAATAGAATTAATGAGCTGATGCGATTTTGATAGGCTAAACTGAATAGTCGGAAAGGTATTGGATTCCCGAACGAAACAACGATAAGCTACTATCGATGAACTATTTGCTTTATGCTCATACTAACGTTAGTCGCATAAGGAGGTTCACTACTTGTAGGTTAAGTGATGAGACGTGCTTTCATGTTTCATGTTCTTCGAAAACGATGATCGAACGCAGGGGTAAGCAGAAAAACTGGAAATATTTGACCACTTACTCGGCATAAAAATATGATTCATCGTTTCAATCTAACAAGATACAAGGACAATGCATTATAAATGCACTCCATTCTATCTCAGTAAAATATAATGCATCACATTCGGACGGTGGTATAGCCGTTATCATCCGTGTGCTTTCGACCCTATAGTCCGAGGTTTGAGACCCTCCACCACCACCCGACTTCGGTGGTAGGCAGCTTTGCCATCATCTGGTCTAATACTAATCAATGTACTCTGTTTGAAGCGTATCCCCTAACAAGGAGACCGGGTCACATAGGCACAAAAATGCATGATTAATGGTTGTACGAACTGAATCGAACTGAACTAAATTGAACTGAGATTTCGATTATCTCAGTTATGAAACTTCATCGATCTGGTCAGCAATGCCTGTTGTACTTCCCCATAAACATGTCTATTGAAGAGACAGTAGTACATTGCCAGCTTCAGTATGGTCCGGGGTGGGGGTCTAGGGTTGCAGCTGGTCACCCTTTTCTTGCACCTCGTGAAATGCTCCCATACGACCAAGCGTCTCAAATAGCCTCTGCTGAAGAAGCTCTACTTACTGCCTTCTGGTGAATGAGGTGTTTTCCCACCAAAGTGAGAGAACGAAAAGCCGGCATCCGGGGGTATAACCGGGTTGGTTGACCACTGGTTGTTCACCTAGGGGAGTTGGCTAAAAATCCTGATTCTAAACCAACCAAGAGGAGTGTGAACCACACACACACACACACACACTCATACCACGTCCTGGTTGTGATAGTGGTCACCGGTTCGATTGGACATCGAGGTGTATTGGGCACCTTGGACGTTTGACCCCGTCCGAAGGGCGTATGATCCGACGAACTGGACACTGGCCCCCAATGGATCGCGATTTTCGTGCACCGCCCCTCTGCCTTGCGGGTCAGGCTTTGGCTAGTCAAAGGCTCCGGTTGTGTATTCCTCAAGAAAATTCAACTGCCTTGGCCTGGGCAATCTGGCAGTATTCTACCCCCACGTAAATTATGGAACGTTTTTCTTTTACATACACATTATTTATTGTACCATGATTTGTTTGGCACAGTCTGGATTCAGACGTGTCTGAAAATACATACATACATGTTTTCCTGACTGTGGGGTCCATCCCGTCTGCTGTTATCATACAAGCGTGTGTAATAAAAAAATAAAACCCTCAATACACCTCCTTTATGTACTGTTGAGTAGCGTTTCACAAACTTCGACGATATTTTAGAAGTAACGACCATCAGCGATCGTGGATGGGCAGTACGCGAAGAAAAGTGTAGGACTCCCATTTGGCGTACTTCTTATATCACTATATCCGGTCAGAACGACAAACTGCATTGTGTGCGTGATGATAATGCCTATTAGAGTAGATAGTAAAAATGGGGTAGGAGTGACAACAGAAGACCTCCGATCGANATCGACCCCCCCCCCCTCCCTCTCCAATCAACTCAGCTACCATAGTCACTATTTAAAATCACGTGCAATCATCATTCTGTTTGCATATCTCAACAATTTTCAGTACATACATCTCACATTATGTGAGTTCGTCGGTTGGTCAATATACCCTAAAGGGATGATGGGTAATGTTCAAATCAGTGACCGGGGAAGACAGAGAATCCATGAAGACCAAAGTTGGAAGGAAATTGAGAAGACGCACGAACGTCCCCGTTTGTGACATTCGGTGTCTCTAATTACGCTGATACCGTTATCCCCATTCAGGAAGCCTAAAGCGATCTGTGTGAGCAAATTACTTGGTCAGGATTTTCATAACCTTGGCTCTTTCCACCCACTACCTACCTCAGCAAACGTTGTGCACCGGGCAAGCAACTATGCCCCAAAGACTCTGATTCGGGTTTAGACATGTAATGCATGATCTTGATCCAGAAGAACAAGCAACAGTTTGTAGTGTACGAGTAGTGGCCAGATGACTCTTGCCTTGTTGATATATGACATCACCTTGTACAGTTACCGAGTCACTGACTTTTCAATCAAAAACTTTGGAAACTCTGCAACACTGATCCATTCATTTACAAAATTTCCTCAACTGCAGGTACATCAAATCTATTAGAAGTCGAACCCATGCATTGTATTATATCTCACACCTGCATGGGTCTAGAATGACAAAAAAATAAATCAATCTCTGTTTTCTT